TCACAAATATCGTAAACTTAAGGTTTTAAATCAATACAAAAGTCTGCAATTGGAGTCTTTAAAAACTGAGCTCTCAACTATTTTTTTAAAAATTACTTTTTGACTGTCAAGATGTCACATTTGCATTATGACATGATGTCTGATTATAAAATATTTTCTGGTCATGAGAATTGCCTAATCAGACCAGGTCAATAGCTTTAAGTTGGCTGTTATCTCTAGAGATATTATCCTTATTCATGCATTCATTGGCAATAATTAATTGTATATTTTATGTTGTGTCTAGCGCAATGGAATGGCTGCATATTATCTCTAGAGAAATTATCCTTATTCATGCATTCATTGGCAATAATCAATTGTATATTTTATGTTGTGTCTAGCGCAATGGTACTGTTGCTTTAATTTTTTATCTAATTTATTATTAGTTGATTTTAAAAGTTTTATTTGTGCAAATTTAAAAAGAATTGCAGATTCACATTAGGCATTAAGCATTGTGGTATTCATTGATTTATTTTCCATGGTAATCCTGGATTGAGTCCTTCATTTGGAAAAATTATTTTTAATGTTTTTTAACTATTTTTAATTGAAAGTTATTATTATTGTTGTTTATTAAAAGTTACATTAATTTTTATTATTTACATGCATTGACTGGTATAGGGATAGGCGCGGTGAGTGTATATACATCCACTGATTTGGGGATAGGCACATATATCAACTGATTTAAGGATAGACGCAGTGGAGCGCACATACATCAATTAAGAGTTTTGGTTTGGGCATGCATCCTTTAAATAAAAGAAAGAAAAAAATAAACAATCAGAAATCACTACTGTGACTTTAAGAAAAAAATTAAAGCGACTGTACCAATGTGCTAGACACAGCGTATATTTTAATGACTATTTTGGAAAAAAATTTAAAAAACCATTTTTCATCGTATCATTGTGTTTTAAACCTGAGCTGCAAATCAAAGGAATCTGAGAATCTAAGGAATCTGAGAAAGGAGTTTAAAGATTTAGTTTAGAGTTTTTAAAACTATTTTTTAAGATTTTCATCAAATATATCTAACTTAGACATCCTTCCTTGTTTGATTGTGTTTTTAATATAGACAAAGAAAAAACATTAGTTACTTGAGAATTATTTAGTTAGGTAGGTGGGGGAAATTACTTAATGCTAGGTGGGTAATTTAAACAAAATCTCTAAAAGCTGGTGTAAAAAAGTCTGGTTTTTAGCATATTATGCAATGACCTCTTATTTGTTATATTATGCATATTTAGCATTTATTATGTTATTTAGCATATTATGCAATGACCTGATATTTGTTTTTAATACTATATTTTTTTCTTGTTTTGTTTTTCTAGTTGTTTTTTTTGTGTTTGTTTTTTTTTTTATTAATTTTTTGTTTGTTTTTTTGTGCTAAAGATGAGCGATCACAGTGCTGTAATGACCGGAATTAAAAGGAAAAGTGGTGTTTCTTACCCAGCACTTGTACCCAACATGCAGGGATTTTACTCAGCGGTTTGCTCATTGTTTTTATATCATAAATTTGGGGTAGTTAAAAGTTGTGGTTAAGGGTTGTCACAATTTTTTTTTAGATTTTTTATTGCTCACTTTTCCTTATTTACTTATCGAGAGTTTGTACTGGGTTGTGTTTTTAAATGTTTTTACTTGCTTGTATTTTCCAAGTAATTTTCTCTAGACTTTTATCAATTTTTTTTGGGGAATGTGAGTAGCTTGGATTAATGTAAAGAGTTTTTTTCTATCTTTATTTTTTGGTTAAAATGATTTGTTATAGTTTGTTTAATATTTTTTATTCATCCATAGGTTAAAGCTGGAGTGAAAGAAATAGCCATTTTTGCTTCTGCATCAGAAGCTTTTTCAAAAAAAAATATCAACTGTACAATTGAGGAAAGTCTAAAACGCTTTGAGCCTGTTTGTAATGCAGCAATAGAAAAAGATATTAAAGTTAGAGGGTATTTTATGTTTTTATTTTTATAGTTTTATTTTTTTTTCTAGTCATAAATTTTCAAATATCAGAACAGAAATTTATCATATTGTTTTCACACAAATAAATTGACTAACCATATTGCTTTTGTGATATTTAAAAAAAATTAAAAACAAATCATCTTATGATGTATTTGTGAAAGTTTATTATCTTATGATGTTTTTTGTGATATATGATGTAAGTCAATATTTTATGATGTATTTTCTTATGATGTGTGATGTAAGTCAATTTTTTATGATGTATTTGTGTAAGTTTTTAGTTTTTTATATATGTGTCCTGTATAGTAGGTTGTTCCTATGTATTTTTTATTTTATATTATGTCCCTACATATTTTTTTAGATATGTGTCCTGTGTAGTAGGTTGTCCATATGAAGGAATTGTTCAACCAGATGCAGTTTCAAAAGTAATTTCTGTTATTAATAATTTTTTAATATTATCATAGTATGTATATATGTGTGTGTGTATATATATATATATATATATATATATATATATATATATATATATATATATATATATATATATATATATATATATATATATATATATATATATATATACATATATATATATATATATATATATATATATATATATATATTAGGGATGTGACTTTTTGGTATATTTTTGGTATCTCCAGTTTCCAATACAAGATGATCTTTCCAATAACAGATGATCTTAGGTTTGAAAGCAACTGAAAAGTCGCCCACCATGACCCTTGATTACACACTGGCTCCCATATATCTTTTTTTTTTTCTTCAAAAGTATATTAACCTGGGTCTCAAAAGAACCAGAATTTCATAGTGGTTTCAAAATTCATAATCTTTTCTACTGAAATGTTTAAAAAAAAAATATTGCAAAAAAATGGCATAAAAAATGACCTTTTTAATTTTTAGTTAAAAATTGTTGTTTTTTGTATATAAAATTTTAACAATGGATTTTTATTTGAAACCACTATTATTTCTGAAATCTCTATGAAATTCTGGTTCTTTTGAGACCTAGGTGGATATACTTTTAAAGAAAAAAGAATTCACTGATATATGGGAGCCAGTGTGTACTCAAGGGTCATGGTTGGTGATCTTTTTCAAAAATTAAATAAAACCAATGACTTTTCTGTTACTTTCAAACCAATGTTCATCTGTTTTTTATATTGGAGTTTGAAGACCAAAAAGTCATTTCCCTAATATGTATATATATATATATATATATATATATATATATATATATATATATATATACACATATTATAAACTACAAAAAAGAAACTGGAATCAACTGGAAAAACCACTATTTTTTGGATATCAACATCGTTTGAAACATATTTGTTCTTGTAGTAACAGATGAAGAATTTTGGGGCAACAAAGTATCTCCCAGTGTTAAATATTAGTTTATCTAAACAACTAAAGATTATTTTTATGAACAGTATGAAAGAGATAACTAAAACAGCAGATGCTATGAAGCTATTAGTTATAAAGGTATGATATATAAGATAAGAATTTATTAGTTAGTTAAAGTGATGGTGTGGCACTAATAGTAAATGATGGTATGGTAATGATAGTATGGTATGAAGCTTTTATTTCATTTAACTTGAGATTTTTTTTAAAGAAAATGAAAGATTTTCTACTTTAATAATTCAGCAGACGCTTTAAGTAATTATCTAAATAAATAATTATTTTGGCAATTGATCTTTTACCACATACAAGAAACCTCTACAACTTTATAGATTTTTCACAGATGGGCAGATTATTGGTTTACTGATATGTGACTCTGATGATGACATCACAACCTATGATGACATCACAACCTATGCAGATTAATTATGTTGTGTGAAAAATTAAATTGTTTTGGAATTCAGAACCATCCAGTTTAAAACTACCAGAACAAATCATACTGCTTTTATTAAGTCTGTAAAAGGAAAGAGAAACTTAAGAGAAACTGAAATTTGAAGTTCATTTTGCTTAACAAGGCATGATAATCTCTAATGTAATATTATGTAATCATTTATCATTTATATTTTTGCAACCTTTTGATTCTTATACATCTTTTGATTCTTGAGCATTGAACAATTGGTATATAGTTTTTTTTTTTAAGCAAGTTGTGACATTAGAATAATAGGGTTCTATCTCTTTTTTGTACTGTTTAGTGAATTTAACAAAGTTTGTTATACTCTCCTAAATTAAAAGTAAAAATTTATTAAATTTGTTAAATTAAAAGACAAAAATATCAAATTTGTTAAGTTGATTGCTTCAAATACACATTATTTATTATTTATTAAGTAATATAAATGTTTATATAATAAATATTGTGTATTTGAAGCAATCTATTTAAGAAATTTGATATTTTGATCTTTTAATTAATTCAATTTAACAAATTTTTACTTTTAACTTAAGAGAGTATAACAATTTTAGGAAAGTATAACAATAATTTCATAATTTTGAAAATTGCTTGTTTACAAATTAATTATTAACTCCAACTTTATTAAATAAGGTTAAAATTGAAAATGAAAAAACAAAAACTAACAATTTTTAAAATTATATAAATAATAAGATTTAAATCTTATTATTATTTATATAATTTTAAAAATTGTTAGTTTTTGTTTTTTCATTTAGTTAATAATTAATTTGTAAACTAGCAAATTTTCAAAATTATGAAATCAATAATGTAAAGTTATTGTGCATGTAAATCTCTGTGTTGATAGATTGTCAATTAGGCTTCATATCGAAGGATCAATGGAGTCCATATGGTCACCTCTAATGTAAACATACAAAGAATGATTTGAAATGTATGTATGTCTAATTGGGAGTTCCAGCAAGTATTATTGGGTAGCTGTGGCATCAGTCCACCTTTTTCAATAATCATCCCTATAATACAGTTGTTTAAAAAAGTTTATCAAAGAATTATTAAATAACAATTTCCATAAAATTAAGCTAGGATCTCTTTTGCTTAATTATTATTTAGGCCTATATCATTATCAGCTGTTTTATTTCATAGTTATTACAGAATATGATCAATAAGATAATAACAATCTAGAATTTAGTAATTTATATTAGGATCATTACTGAATGTACTCCAACCATCTTGAATTAGGGTAACAGCACAATCATCAGCAAGATCATTTTTCATTAAGTTGATTACTTCTTCATTTATCTTTACTAAGAGTTTTTAAGATATCTGTTTTCTATTTGGTGGTTCCTATCCAGGTCTAATTTTTTAAACAGTTTCTTAAATTCAAGATTTTCTACTACGTTGAATGATATATTTGCTGAAAAGAAAAACCTTGAAATTTTCAAATCAAGTTTATCCTTCTGATTACTTGTTGTTGTAGTAACAAATTTAGAAATGGATGTTTGCCGTTCCATTGATATTGCAGTTGACTGAATAATTAACAAATAGGAAGAATTACTAGTAAAGCTTAAACAATCTTACTCATTGTCATCTGACTGGTTAAACTTATTTGATGTTGCAGTATATATATATATAAATATATATATATGATATAAACTCATCTGATATAAACTAATTATTTCAGCTGCGTCATTATAGCTTACTTTTTTCTTTCTGCATTTATCCAAAAGAATCTTAACTCTCTCTATTTTTTTAATTATGCTAACTTTGCAATAATTACATATTACTCTATTTGGTTGATCTCTTAATATGGTCACTTCATTCTGCTCACTAGCCTTATATCTTCCCTCTGAATTATAATTTGGCATGTTGAAGACATAATCTACTTATATTTTAAATTTAAACTAAAAAGATAACTCTATTTAAAAATAGCTTTAAATTAGAAAAAAATGATTATTAATTGAGCTATAGTTTAAGACAAAAAAAATGAAAATGCTTTTAAATAACTATAAATGAATCAAACTTTGTTACTAAAGATTTATTCCAAACCCAAAAACTCAGTTGGGTTGGGTTTTTGCCTATCCTGATTGTTAGCACTACTTAGTTTCAACTATTATATATATATATATATATATATATATATATATATATATATATATATATATATATATATATATATATATATATATATATATATATATATATATATATATATACATATATATATATATATATATATATATATATATATATATATATATATATATATATATATATATATATATATATATATATATATATATATATATATATTAAAATAGTTTCATTTGTTAATTTAACATCTGGCCACAACATCTGTTAAAATAGTTACATTTGTTAATTTAACATCTGGCCACAACATCTGTTAAAATAGTTACATTTGTTAATTTAACATCTGGCTACAACATCTGTTAAAATAATAATCAACATGTGACGGGTTAAAACATTTGATCTAACTCATAGTAATGTTACACGCATGTCAAAAAAACCTTTTATCTTATAATACAATATTGTGTCGACTTATATATTTTCAAAAATTATATACAATAATAAAAAAAATTGTTTTAAATGATTTTTTTTATAAAAAAATTTCTGCAATTCGGCAGAACTTAGAGATGAGCTATAAGGTTATAATTGTTTGAATAATTACAAAAATCATTAACTTAAACAACGCTTTAAAAAACTAAAAATTATTAATTTAAACAACGCTTTAAAAAACTTAAAAAAAACTTCAAGTTTCTAAGTTTTTTAGACTTTTTTAATTTTTTTTAAATTTAGATTTGTAATTTAGAAAGATTTTTAGAATAATGCATATGATCTTGTTTTCTTAAAACATTTTAAAGTGTTTTACAAAGTACAAAATCAAAATGTGAAATAAAAAAATTACCAAAAGCAAGAAAATAAGAATGCAAGTTAAAAAAGATTCTAAATATGTTGTTAAAACATGTACACTATGAAATTTTGAATGTAAAAATTTGTACTGAAATAACAGAGTGTACATTTGTGTTTAACATCAATAATTTTGTGGTTAATTCTTCTATATCTTTTAGTGCTTTTAAATCAAAATAAAGCTACATAAGCAATATATGATAAACCTTTGCTTTGAGATTAAACAATTTTAATGATTGATCATTAAAAGATATAAAACTTTACCAGACATTAAAGTAATATGTTTTGTAATGACTTCCCAATGCAATTTATTTTTTCAAAAAACTTGTTTAAAATGCTGAGTAAGACTAAATATTATAGATTGAGTAGTTGTAATTCTAGGGTTATATTCAAGCTAGCGCAGATTGGGGGAATTGTCTTCACCCGACCCCAATCAATTAGATTGGGGGTCGGGTGAAGGCTGTAATATTCTTTTTTACACTATTTAAGGTTTAGTTCTTATGCAATCATTATTTTTAAACACATTTTTATATACTGTTTACACTAGAGAACTGGAATACTAATTTACTGCGCAGTGTTTACTGTATTTTGTTTTTTACTTTACTGTATTTTTTGTCTTTTACTTTACTGTATCTATAACTATATAATTTTTCTATTTTTTTAAAAATCAAAACGTTTTACATTCTATTATTTTTATATATTTTTTTTATTTAATGAATTCGTCTACCCAAGGCCGAGGAAGTCTTAGTGAGACGAATTCATTAAATAAAAAAATATATATAAAAATAAAGCTATATATAGAAACAGCTTTTTTTTTAACTATGATTATAACCCTCTCTCATCTCTTTGACTAAACATAAACACTGACAAACAAGGTCACTTTCTAGAGAAACAAGTTGAGTGCAGTACAACCAGGGGTGTAATGGGCTGGAACTCGCAGCTTCTTGCTTACAAGGGAGCCCTCTAACGCTACAGCACTGGTAGTGGTTTATATTAGCAATATACATTAATAATATAGTTCAACATATTTTACATTTGAATAGCAAGGATAAATAATTTGTAAAAGTTAATTTTCACTTGAGATTCTGAGATTCAAAATCTAATGAAAACTCCTCTCTGGCTATCATGTTGTCATCATATTTTTAAATCATTCTTTAGGTCATTTTGGAACAACTTTTTTTTGGAAATGTGGAAAAATCTTTCTTCAAAAATGCAAACAAAAAATGCTTTTATTTTAGGTTCAAAATATGTACATAAAAATAAACATATAGAACAAATTAAATAAAATTTCTTACCTTTAGGGCAAGGCTATGCAAAACAAAGTTTTTAAAGTGGTCAAAAATTATTTGTTGATTTAGCACAATACAAATAATTTATAAGCCTTTTTTATGAGTAACAGGACAGTTATTTTACTGAAAAAAATATTGTTCATAACAAATATTTTCAACACCAGGCTCCTGATATTTATCATATAATGTTGCTACTCAGAGTTTCTTTTCAATTGTTTTGAGATGGTTTAATAGTTAAGGTTAATGTCAAAAAAAAAGAGCTTTATTAGTAATAACCTCACTAGATTGTAACATAACATTAAATTAAATTTATTTAATTATTGACAGTAAATCAAATATAGAAAATAGTAATAATGATTTTTATGATATCAAAAAGTGTTTAAACATAATTAAAAATTCTAACATCCAACCAAACCTAAGATTTGAGTTGAATGTTAAATTTTAAAATCATGCAGATTCTATCATGATATGTTCTTCAAAATTTTATATTTCTATTTTTAAGGTAGCTCAGCACTTGATAAAATTAGGATGTTACGAAATATCTCTTGGAGATACAATTGGTATTGGATCACCAGGTAGTGCTTACTTTTTTTTAGCATTAGTTTTAATAAATTATATATATATATATATATATATATATATATATATATATATATATATATATATATATAATATATATGCGTGTGTTTATATATATATATATATATATATATATATATATATATATATATATATATATATATATATATATATATATATATATATATATATATATATATATATATATATATATATATATATATATATATATATATATATATATATATATATATATATATGAGTGGTTCAGAAGCCAAGGGGTACAAGTGATTTTACCAAATTTTACCAAAATTAAGTTAAGTATAGAATTTGATAGAAGAAGCAAACAAAATTGTTGGTGGCCAAGAGATACAAGTGAATCTCTGCCCTGTGCTGCTTTCTACAGGAAAAACATAACAACAGCTGAGTACATTTAACAAAAATACTATAACTTTAAACAGCTGTATCTCAAAACTATGAAAATGTCACTTGTACCCCTTGGCTTCTGACCCACTCATATATATATATATATATATATATATATATATATATATATATATATATATATATATATATATATATATATATATATATATATATATATATATATATATATATATATATATATATATATATATATATATATATATGTATGTATGTATATAGTATATATATGTATATATGTGTGTATACAAATAATATTATATATATGTGTGTGTGTTTTTGGTCGAACACCGAATCGGAATGTTCGGCCATGAAAGTTCGGCCTAACACCAAACCGAATACCGAACTTTTGCTTTTTTTAAATATAAACATTGGTTTACCTCGAAAACATTTTGCACTCGAAGTGAAAACTATATTTTTAAAAATTTAATGTGTTTTTTAAAACATAGGATTTATTTTGAAAATATGTGAAGAAACTTAAAGTAACTATCAAAAGTAAATTTATTATTAGATGATTGTTTGTAGTCACTACACTACAATGTAGTGTAAAGAAGTAAAAATGTTAAGAAGTTTTTATTTGAAAAATGAAAAATTAAATTTATGAGTATGACTTGTTAGTAATGAATAATAATGAGTATAAATAATTAACAATTATAATATAATAAAATTGTATAGTAATTTATAAATTAAACTTCTTAAAATAATATTTTACGTTAAGGATTTATTTTAATAGTTGTTAATTGTTAATGTGAAGGCTTAAAGTTAAGCTATTTAGCTAACTTTTATATTTGTAGACTATACTAAAAGCTTAGCTTATATGTTATAACATTTAAGCTAAATTTGTACTCTATTCTACAAATATAAAAGTTACCTAATAAAGATAAAGGTATAAAGGTATAAGGTATTAAAACCTAGTATCTGGCATGTTTTAAGATTATATTTTTTTCTTAAACTTTATTTATTTATTAGTATATACTTTTAATTATTTAGAAGTATAAAAAAATGTCTTCAAAAATAAAATTTAAAAGTACTGTTTAGAAATATTTTGAAGTTTCAAAGAAAGATAATCATTTTTGTATTTGCCTACTATGCAAAGCATTACTTTCTAGAGGTGGGAATTGTCCTAAAACATTCACCACTAGTGCAATTAGACGTCATTTAAAAAACAAGCACTTTGCAGAATATAAAATAGCTGAAAAGTCTGAAGAGTCTGCACTTTGCAGAATATAAAATAGCTGAAGAGTCTGACAAAAAAAAATTGAAACATCTACAGCCTCTACATCAAGTGATTTTGAATTAAAAAAACAATTAACATTACTGGAGAGTCTTAATTAAAAAAAAGCTGTGGGATGTAAATGATCAAAGAACTATCAAAATTCACAATCACATTGGAGAAATGATGGCGTTAGACATTCAACCATATTCAATTGTAGATGATCTTGGTTTTAGAAAATTAATTGAAGAGCTGTGTCCTAATTATCGAATACCTAGTAGGAGATATTTTAGTGAAAATATTATTCCACAAATATATAATAAACTATTTAGTTCTATCAAGAGTAATATATCTGCTGCCATTCATATCTCTCTTACAACTGACATTTGGACAGCAAATAGTTCAAATGTTGCCTTCATAAGCATGACAGCACACTGGCTCAGTAATTAATTTTGCCAGCACAGAGCAGTACTCAGAGTTATGCATTTTCCAGAAAGTCACACAGGAAAAAACATAAGTGAGTATTTACATAAAGTTTTAGTAAGTTTTGAAATTCCGCACTCAAAAATTCATATTGTTTTACGAGATAATGCGGCCAATATGGTAGCTGGTGTAAGAGACAGTAGTTTTAGATCAATGCCATGTTTTATACATACAATACAGTTATGTATACATGACTCAATTCTGTCACAAAAATCTGTTAAGGATATTTTAGCTTGTTGCAGTTGTCTGGCAACTCATTTTCACCATTCCCCAACAGCAGCAGCAAAATTAGAAGCAATTCAGGAACAACTTGGTACAAATAAGCACAGGTTAATCCAAGATATTACTACAAGATGAAACAGTTCTTATGATATAATTGAAAGGATGTTTGATCAAAAAGTTCCTTTGGCAACTTATACAGCTGATCGTCCTACCCAATCAACACTAAATTCATTTCAATGGGACTTGTTAGATAAGGTGTTGCCTTTTTTTGAACCATTTAAAACTTTAACCATTAATTTCAGTAAACGTGAATCATATTTGTCAAATGTTATTCCTTCAATTATGGCTCTGAAAGAATTTTTCAATTAAGCATAAGTATGTGAGGCTTTTTTAACAATAAATACTTTAGTTGAACATTTAGGTGGGTCAGTAGACAAAAAATTGGGTTCATATTTACATGATAAATATTTATGTCTTTCCACTTTTTGTGACCCTAGATATAAATTGACATATCAAAAGGAAGACAAGGATAAAATAAAAAATTGGATAAATGAACAGATGCAAGAAATGCAACAAAGTAAAAACTTGAATCCTCTGATTCTGATTTTGACGAACCTTCAGTACATAACACAAATGATTTTGACGAACCTTCAGTACATAACACAAATGAAGTAATTGCAAAACCAGCTTTTCCAAAATTCAATGAATGTTTTCAGAAAGTTTCTAAACTGATAACTATAGATGAATGTGATTCCAACTTTGTAAATACTAAAAATAGCAAAAGGTTAAAAAGATCAAGTTCTAATATACAAATGATAAACAAGGAGATTGAAGAGTACTTAAAGCTACCTCTTGTCTAGGAAAAAGAAAGTCCTCTCTTGTGGTGGAAAAATTGTGGAAACTCTTTTAAAAATTTAAAGAAAATTACCCAAAAGTTTCTTTCAGCACCACCATCTTCTGTTGAAAGTGAAAGACTTTTTAGTACAGGTGGCATCATTTACGAATCCAATAGAAACAGACTATCACCAGAAAGTGGCGAAAAATTAATGTTTATTCATTATAACTTGAGGACAACAAATGATAATTGATTTTCACTCATGTTTTTAATGTTTTATTTTTTCAATAATTGATTATTTTGTTAGGTGAAAGTTTAAAATTGTTGATTTGTCTAGTATTAATACTATTGCATGTTTAGTTATATAATAATAACATAATAGTATATGTTATATAGTTATCCAATTTATTATGTAGTTATAGTAATAACTACATAATAAATTGGAGCATTTTTATGTTTTTGATCACCACAACAACATTTTTCCCTAAGTTTATTCCTTTCAAATAATTTTCTCAGTTTAACTAGTTGAGTAGCCAAATTATGAGCAACTTTCTTTATAAAGATTTTTTTTTAACACAGCAGCAATAGGCACCACTTAAAATGGACTTTTCTATCTGTTATTTTAAGTTTATTTTATATTACATTTTTGCGATTTTTCCAAAAAAAAAAAATTTGCTTCTTGCATGAATCTTATAACTTAAGTTAAAATTAATTATTATTATTATTATTATTTATATAAAAGGATAAAATTAACTAAAATATTGCTCAATTGAAAGGATTTTTCATTTTACACTTATACTAGTACTATTTTTTCTAAATGATGTAAACTAGTTTTACGTAATACATTCAGTTTTAAGTAATACATGCGATCAAATTAAATTTATTCTAAATTCAAAAAACTTGATGTAAATCTAACGTACTCATGTGCTCTATTGAAAAACATATTCTTACCTACTATGCGTTGTAGATAAGAAGCGGGTTTTCAATAAAAAGCCATATCTATTGTAGCTATTTAGGCTGAGTTATGATGATTTGATGATATTAATTTCCAAATTAGCATTTTTAGCAAATGTTCAGCCGAAGATTTGTCAAGGTCCGGCCAAACCGAGCGTTCGGCAAAACAGCCGATCGTTCGGTTTTGCCGAACGTTCGGTGCATCCCTAGTGTTTATATATATATATATATATATATATATATATATATATATATATATATATATATATATATATATATATATATATATATATATAATTATATGTTATATAAATATATTTTATATATATATAAATTTATATATAATATTTTTTAAATAAATATAAAGCTTAGTTCAGTTTTAAATGTCATTAAGAAAATGTGGTAATTTTTTTTTTTGTTTTTTTTTTTTTTTGAGCATTTTTGAGTGAACAGAGTTGTGTGTTCTAAAAGAAAAATGTCATTGGGTACTTTAAATTTCTTGAATAAACTGCCAAAAAATGGAAAGAAATGACCTGTCTATTTTCTGCAGAGCTTGAAGAACTATTAAGCAAATTACTGAACTTTTGGCTGAATCTGATCATTTATGCAAGACTAGAAAAGCTTTTAAAAGTATTTTTATATGTGCTGAAAGAAAGAAATAGTACTTTAATGAATGGAATGAACTGTTTGATGTAACTAATGTGAATGATAATTAGTTGTGTAAAAAGAGTAAGAATCTCTATAACTTGCATTTTTTACTCATATTCTGACCATTGGTTTAGCTTTCAATTGTTTTGCACTGAATGTTAAGCTATCTGTGGCTCTGAATGATTATCTAAAAGGTCTCATCTGCTTTAAAAATCAGTGGAAAGCATTAAATCTTTAATCGAAATTGCCACCAATATTTTTGTGAGTAAAGTTTTAGAAGTCTTGCATGGATCATGGATCCTGGAGCAAGAATCCTGTTGAAAATAGAAAAAACTACCTTTGAAGTTTGCTTTGTTCAAAATTTAAAGTCATCAGCAAACAGAGCCACTTTAGATGTAAGATTCTCAAGAACATCATTAATGTCGATAAAAAAGAAAACAGGACCAAGAATAGAACCATGCAGTACCTCAGAAATTACTTGAAATGAAAAAGGGTGTTGGTCTTCAAGGGTGTTGACCTACAACTTTCATGCTGCAGTTAGTAAAAAATGATTTAGTAATCTTAAAAACTTTTCCAGACTATATGAAGCTTGTTTACGGAGAACAATAGTGTGCCAAACTTTATAGAAAGGTTTTGATATGTCAAAAGCAATAGCCTTTATCTCACCGCCCCCATCTATTGCACAGTTGAATCTTTCAAGAGGAGCAGTCAGCCATAGAATGAGAGGTTCAAAATCTAAATTTGTCAGAGTTAATTAGACTCAAAATTAAATCTGTTGATTTCTAATTTTGAGTTCATAATCTGTTGGTTATAGACTCAAAGACCTTGCTAATAATTGTGAAAGACTGATTGGACAATAGTTTAGGAATCAGAGTGTCATCTAGAGTTTTTTTAAAAATTGGAACCATGTGTCATTTTCTAGCAGGTCAACAAGATTTAATCAAGCATTTATTAAATAATTTAGAGATAATTGAAGGGAGTTCTTAAGAACACTTTTTTAAGACTCACAGGAATGGTGTCTGGACCACAAGTTGTAGAAGAGTTTTATTAAAAAATGACAGAAGCTGGACTTAATTTGATTAACTAACAGTACTGTTTAATTTTACTGTTTTTTTTTTTCATTTCTTCCTTCATTTTTTCGTTCATTGCTTGTGTGTAACCATTCAATAAATTTTATATGCCAAAGTTTTCACACCTCAGCTAAGAAATAAAGTCACTATAATAAAGGAGAATTATTTTTTGAACAAAGCATATTTTGAAAGTTGTCAAGACAAAAATAAAGATTAATAGAGGAATATTTACAAATAAGTAAGACAGACAGTACACCTAAAACGGTACTAAAGTACTGGGTTAATTTGTTGAGGTGGAATGGCAAAGGCCATTAGTTTCAAGACTCAATTTAGAGGTTCTTTTCTAAGAGTTCTGGCTTATCCTTTAGAGAGGTAATAAAATCAGACCAAGATTAAATGTTAGACTAACATTATTTAATGACATTTTTGAGGAGTCTCTAGAGCCTAACTTCTCAGATAAGAAAAAAAAATTTAAACTAAAAATTTTAATGCTTAGCATACAACTGCATCTTTTTACATTTTCTTGCAATAATAAAATTTTCTTTTCAAGATGGTTGTTCTTTTAAAAAACGATGGAAAAAATGATTAGGATTAGATAAAGGAGCTGCATAAGAAGGTGAAAACCATGAAGTAGAATGAGGCTCGACTTGGAATCGACAAAAGAAATAAAAGCTTCCATTCCTGCCTAAATCCAGAAAGTTATTTAGGAGGTGCATTTATCAGCTGAGAGAAAAAAGACATCAGCCCAAGGACCATCACAAAGAAAATCACGAAAAGAATCCCAGTAGGTTTTAGGGTAGTAGTAAGTAGAGAGATGATAAGAAGAGTCAGAAGAAGAAGTATGAGATGAAAGATTTAAAGAGATCATTGCATGGTCTGAACCACCTAAGAAAGAAAAAGAAGAAGCTGAACACAATCTAGGATCAGATAAAAGATGCAAATCAAGGGGTAAAGGTTTTTTTTTTTCGTTTAGAAGTCACAAAGTTAACTATCTGAGTAATAAATTGAGAAATACAAAAGTTAAGAGCTTTATTACCAAGAGTCAGGTGAGTTTTAGAGCCCAGACATTCAGTGTGATGAGCATTAAAGTCAACAATAACAATGATATTGGCAGAGGAATAAAAAGAGAAAGTAGTCAATTGTCCTCCATAATTCATTATTTGCTTTGTAAACAAATCTAAAAAGATTGTAGTTAAGATGAAAGAAAATGACAAAGAACAAAGAATCTCGAAGGTAATTGAATGAAAAGGAAGCATATAAAAGAATGATCAGAGGATTCACACCTGGTTTCTTGACAAATAAATGATTTGATGCAAAAGTACCCATGCATCTAACTATTAAAGTTTTTGCAAATCAAGCAATAATTTCCATCAATACTGAAATCTGAAAAAGAAATAGCTGAATTTACCTGAATTCACTTTGATATTTTACAGAATTTTTACTATTTTTTACTTGTACAGAGGAAACTATGAGAATATTTTTAATATATTTTCATTTATCTATGAGAGCTACTATAAAGTTTAGGAAACTAAATAAGTAAATACCAAAAACAAAATAGTAATGCCAAAAATAAGTATTTTTATCTAGACACCATCTCTAACCTTTACTCAACCAAGAGTCTTAAGGCAGATGTATTTAAAGTCAGAGTTTCTTCTAGCCTATAAAAGCGAATTCTACAAAACAACAGAATATAGGGCAGGTTTTACTGGATTATATGTTACCAGTAGCAAGTTAGTAACAAATGTTTGCAAGTATCTAGATTAATTAAAGAAGTTACTTCTGTAAGTAGTACTCCAACATATTGAACTTGAGAATTTGAATTTGCATCAAGAAGAATATTTTACCTAAAGTAATACCAGAAGTGTTAATGAGGTGAATCTTTTATATATATATATATATATATATATATATATATATATATACATATATATATATATATATATATATATATATATATATATATATATATATATATATATATATATATATATATATATATATATATATATGTAGAAGAAAACTAAAAATTAGATAAGTATTTTTACTAATTTATTATTGCTCTGTTCTTTAAGAACATTGAGCACTCTATTTGTAGAATACACTAACATAATTTATATATATATATATATATATATATATATATATATATATATATATATATATATATATATATATAGAGAGAGAGAGAGAGAGAGAGAGAGAGAGAGAGAGATAGGGATAGGGAGGAGAGAGAGAATAAGTTACAGGTGAGCTTGCACTGTAATAAGACTCCAACTATATTGACAAAGATAGATATCACTATAGACAGGTATTATTTTAGATATTGTTCTAGACATTGCATAGACTTAATTATTTTAAAATTTATAATGAATAATTAAATGACAAATAATTTTTATGTCTTGTTATTTTTACATTACTGTAATATTTTTATTGTGTCATTACAAGTTATTAAAGGTTTCTTCTAGTAAACGACCAGAAAAAAATAAATTTAAAAGTTTTGCTTGTTTAGAATCAATTTCTCTTATGCTTTCCTGTGTAAAAGAAGATGTACCTGTTAGCAAACTTGCAATACACTGTCATGATACATATGGAAAAGCCATATCTAATATTGAAGCTGCAATTGAAGTAACATTTAAAAATATTATACAATCTAAATGCTAAAATTTATGTGTGTTTCAACTGGGTAGCAATAATATATATATATATATATATATATATATATATATATATATATATATATATATATATATATATATATATATATATATATATATATATATATATATATATATATATATATATATCTGTGTGTGTGTTTGTATGTGTGTGTATATATGCCTATATATACACATATATAAAAATTATTTGTTATTTAATTATGCATAAAAACAAACTTTTTTTTTCCCCAAGATACCTCTCAAGTTTTTCCCATTCTCTGAAGTCCCTTAAGGTTAAAAATCAAAACATGTGTAACTTAGAAAGGCTCAACAATATACTTGTTGCTTATTTTATGTTTAACAAAATCCAAACCTTAATATGCTTATAATATTATACTTATTAAAAAAAAAAAGCCTATTTAAGTCGCTATTGGTAAATTAAAAATGTAAATTTAATTACTCAGTTTTGATCACACGTCTTCGAAATTTTTGAGATGATGAAATGAATAATAATAATAAATGAACTTATTTTATGTAATTTAATGTTTTATAGTATTTTCTAAAATGGGTCATCTTCCCTAGAACCCTTCCGAGTATTTGTTATTGAAAGTTACATTCTAAATGTCTTTTAAATGTTCTTTACGTAAGAATGTTTAAAAGACATTTAAAAGACATTTAATATACATTTAGAAGGTAACTTTTATAAACAAATGCCCAATGGGAAAGCCACAAATAAAGGAGAAAAAAGAAAGATACAGACTAACCCCCAAAGGCTACTGTTTCTTCTAAAGTATTCTATCAATCACTTGCCCATGAACCAGCTCCCAAGCATTGGAAATGTACTTAGAAATGTACTTAGTTTGTCAAATCTCCAAGGTCTTTAAAGTTTAAATCTACTAAACCTGTTGTAGCTTGTTCTCAAAAGTTTTCAAGCAAAGGTCATATCTGCAAGGGTGGATTATGTAAAGATCCAAACCATAGATGTGTCACTGCTCTTGTAATGGATGTGTGGAACAAGGCTGCTTTTTGAGAGCTCATCATTTCTGGAACAGCTGCTAGGTAAAAAATAATTTAATTTTTAAATTAGCAAAAAAAAAGTTAAATAAAAACCTAAATAAAAAACTAACTATACATAGGTAATTAAATTAAAAAAATAATGTTTTTTTATATTATTAAGGTATTAATTCCGAAGCTCCATATTAAGTATTGCAAACTCATCCATCTAAGAAATCTAAAATGGGATTCCAGTATTAATAGATTTACCAAGATGCTGGAAGATTTCATTCAGGAGAGTAACAAACTCTTCGATATATCTGTGAAGATGTTTAAGGAGAAGATTCAATCAGATCAACTTTGTTCTCAGGAGGCCATGGCAGAGGATATTCAGTTTTTTTTAGACCAGAAACAGGATAGAAAAATATATATTACAACAGATGTATACAAAGAGTTTGAAATATCTGTTAAAAATAAACAGGCAATCCTGTTTGTTGCGGAAATAAATAACATAAAAAATACAGAAGTGGAGAAAGAACAAAAGAAAAAGGCTTGCTCTAAGTGAGGTTTCTTTAGATTCTGATACATGTTCCTCTGCATAAGACTTGGAAGCTGTACTTATCACAGATGAAGATTCTGTTGATGAATTAATTCAAAATTCTGATTCTACAGTAAAAGCCATGGTAAACAAATGATGGTTATAAAGTATAAACTTCAAATGACTTAGATGATTTCTTGTCATTTCTAGCTCGGTTTAAGTATTCACCTCGTTTTTGAGATAACTGTTCGTGACGGCGAAGAAATGCATTAAACCAACCTTTTGCAGGACGGTTGTTAGTAAATTGTGTTTTTATATTGTTGGAATTCAAGTATTTTTGCACAGTATTTAATAGCTGTGCTACAGACATGGCAAATCCCATTCTGGTCCATGTTAGTAACCACTTGACTAATTTATTTTCAATGTGTTCACCTAGTACCGATTCATAACCGCAGTGTTGTATCTTCAGAGAAGTTTTTCCAGATATTTTATCACGAAGCGTCTGATAAGGAATTCCAAACGTCTTGCTTGCTTTGTACACAACCATACCTTTTTTAACAGCATTAATAGCATCTCTTAATTAGCTATCTGTATATTGAAGTCTTCGTTTTGAGCTACAAACTTTTGTTTTATATTTTTGTCTTGCCATTGTAAAAGAATCTAACTGAAATTTTTATTTTTATAGTAAAAAAGAAACAAATTGATTATTTATTGGACATACGATATGTATAGAATGACATTTTTTTAGTTCATACTTATCGTACTTTCAAAAATACTACATTGATACTATAATGATGAGTGGTTTTAATAATATTAATAATGATCCATGTTTTATTTACCTTATTAAATCAATTTAGAAATAAAATTTTATCTTATCTTCTTAAATTATCTTGTTTTATTTGAAACGCTTCTAACAGCTGGTACTTAAAAAAAAAGTATTTTCATAGGCTGACGTAATAAGCCCACTGAGTTTATATTAGTAACTATGTGTTGCGGTTTCTATGTATTGTAATAGAAGTGCATGACGATGTTGTTGATAAAAAAATATATATATAAAAAAAATAATTACTACTTAGTGCAAAATTTATGTTAGTATTTAAAACCTACGATAAGTGTCAACTCACGCTAGGTGTGGAAACGACCCTATATCACTTTTAAATGAACAAAAATGCTCTTTTAGTTTTTTTAGCCTATTTGGACCATAGAGAATGGGAAAAACTTAAGAGGTATTTTTTTTTAGGACACCCTAATTTATATAAAGTTGCACTTCTTTTAAGACCCAACATGATATGCTTTTAAAGAACTTTTTTTTTTAGATATTAGGGATCCGTCTGATGTTTAAGGGTCTTAAGCGACCCCTAAAAAATTTTTTGATTTAAAAATTTTCTAAATTTAGTATTAATTTATTACATAGAACACATTTAGGGGTTATCATCAGACATTTTCAAAAAATGTTGTTTTATGACACACCCTAATATATACAAAACTATGAATGCATGTTTAAATAGCTATAATAGCCAGGGACTTTATTACATACATCGATTATCTTATAGCTTGCTGCCTCAGGGGAGTGCTGCTACATAAAATGAGAGTTTTGCATGGGACAGCAATCTTTTCTTTCATTACTCTTCGTTTTTTTTTTTTTTTTTTTTTCTTCTTCTTTTTCTGAAAATGCCTTACAAATTAATGTAACAAAAAGATTTTGCATCCCAGTTGAAGTTTTTAACTGTCAATAATAAAAATTTTACTTTGATTACAAAATTTTACCAAATGTAAAAATTGGAAATCAAAAAGTCTTCTTTAAGCACTAACTTATAGTTATTCATCACTTATTAAATCTTATATATATCTTTAAAAAAAAGTTAGAAAGCACATTTTTTACATATTCTTCATGATTTTTTTGGTTCTATAAAATTGACATTAGTTTTATAATGGACATAAATTTTAAAATTGACATTGAGGTTAATTCAAATGATTAATTATCAAACAAAAATGTTCTTTTAAAAGCATTAATAGTTGTAAAGATTAATTATAAAGATTTATATTGATAAGATTAATAATATTTTAACTTAATTTTTCATTATTGCTGTACTTGGTTTCAATTAATTAATTGAATTAAGCGAGACAATAGATAACTAATTCAAGCAGGACAGAAGAAAAATAATATGTTTAATTGATCACTAAAGTAATCATCCCAATATTCTATTTGATTCTAAATAATTAGTTTGATTTAAATGAATTGTTAAATCAATTAATATTTTCAATTTTTCACGTTTAAGTCTTGGGTGGACACATGTTACTTACAATGTTGTATCTATTTGCATTGATAATGGCATCAGGCTAATATGTTTACCAGCTCATTCATCCCACTTCATTCGCTAGACAATTGTGTCTGTTACTTATAGAATTTTATGAACAAGTTTTAACAGTTTAACAACATAAATTTTTATTCAAATACAAGCAAAACTTTTTAGCTCAAATAACGCATTTACACAAATACAAATAAAAAAATTGTTGGGTTTTAAAACACTTTCCATTTGATATTACCAAAATTGATCATTCAAAGATAGCATTATCTAACATAAGTGCATCAAACAACCACCAATAAACTAATTTCAAAATTTAACTGCAATACCTGCTAATTGTATCAAATGTTGCAACACTTGGCGGAAAGAATCAAATGCAATTTGAAAATGTTTTATAGCGCCAACATGTTGACAGAAAAAAATCCAAAAACCAACATTATAAAAATATCTTAGTATGTCTAAGGTGCTCAAGAAACTAATGAGGCTAAAAAAACAAATTAGTTTAAAAAAATACAAGATTGACTTCAGTAAAATTGCAGCTGAAATTTGAGTCAAAAAAAGAATTGAAACTTTTAATTTCTAATCTTGAGTTAGTCAGTCTTTTTTTTTTTGTCAGAGTTTTTTATTTGCATAAAAAAGTGCCACAGACCTGCTTCTGGACCATGAAATAGTTCAAATTTAATTAAGAAAATGCTTTTTTGCATTATGTTTAATTTTTTTTTTTTTTTTTTGTAAATTTAATTTCTAAAATGAATAATAAGGTTAATTTTCATTTTAATTTAAACTTATTATGCTTGATTTTTTTTATATCCTAATATAATATATTTTATAAATTAGATATTCTTATATTCTAATATTATGTGTATATATATATATATATATATATATATATATATATATATATATATATATATATTATATATACACATACATACATACATACATACATACATACATACATACATACATACATACATACATACATACATACATACATACATACATGCATACATACATACATACATACATACATCAGGGCTCGAGTTAAGCGTATCGCTTTCGCGATTCGCGATTACTTTTCGCACCTTCGCGATTAGTTTTTTTTTTAATTTGTTTTTTTTTTGCGACCTTTCTTTTTTTCGTGATTATTCTTTTATCGTATTAGAAAAATCTAATTTTAGATAATTAATATTAATCGTGAATATTTAGCGTTCTTTTACAGTATAAAACTGCAGTGACTTCTGTAACAATAAATTTTTTTAAAAGCTGAGCATAGAGTAAAAGAAAGAAAAATAAAGTATTTAGAAAATCAATTAGCAAAAAAGTATTAGTAAAAATGTAAAAAAATACCTTTTCGAATCAAGTAATAAAAGATTTTGATTAAAAAAAGAAATAAAAGTTAATTGATTGAAAAGTCATTTTCTCGAATTCTCAAGGGTTTTATTCTGATTTTGCTCATTCATTATGAACAAATTTAATGATATTTTTATAAGTTTAATTTGCGAAGAATTGTGGAAGGCAATACAGACTCTAAACTAGTTATTAAAAAAAAACTCTCTAAAGTTTGTTAGTATACTTACTAACTTTAAATTAATAGCAATAAATGGATGCAAATAAGGACCACAGACTATCTACAGATTATCTACAGTTAAAAAGTGGGAAAAACTTTTGAATTGCGAGTTAGAACATGATTTAAATGGAGATGAAGTTATAAGATTAAGATGCAGTTTATGTAAAAAATTTGAAAAATGGATAAGTCAAACAAAATTGTTTTCTATGACCTGGATCAAACCAGGAACAATATCAATCAAAAGACTCACTGGCAGCGCACTTAAGTAGTGCGCAACATAAAGAGGCCACGCAAATTCATCAACAAACAACATTAGGTTCAGTTTCATTATTTAACCATGTTATTCATAATACTCCTATCGGGCGTGGTTTACGTAAAATGGCCATATGGAAAAAGTTTAATATTCCATATTACTTGGCAAAACGAGAGCGTCCATTCACAGATTATCCTTATTTGATTGCATTAGAAAAGTCTAATGGAGTTACAAATTTAGGAAATTCTTATGGCACTGACCGTGCAGCTGCAATATTTACAGATTACATTGGCACCGTAATTAAAAACAAATTAACTGAATGTTTAAAAAATTGTAGATTTTACTGTGTTCTCTGTGATGGAAGCACAGATTCAGCTGTATCAGAACAGGAATTGATTTACATTCTTTATTTAAAAGACGGAAGTCCGAAAGTAGAATTCTTATCTATTGAAATGGCAGAGAATTCTAATGCTGTTGGCCTGAAAAAATGTATAACAGACGCTTTTACAAGAGTTGGCATTACCAATTCTTATAAACATCTGTTGGGTGTAAATCTTGATGGAGCTAACGTTAATATAGGAGCTTATGTTGGTTTAGGGGCATTACTAAAGGTTCTCCTTGGCTGGAAGTTGTACGCTGTTCTAACCATCGACTTGAACTTGCTTTAAAAGATGCGTTTGAAAGTTTATCTGCCTTCAAAACTGTTGACGAACTTCTTTTACAACTTTATTACTTGTATCAAAAGTCACTGAAGCGCTACCGAGAACTACAAGGATTAGCCGAAGCTTGGGGTAATAGCGTTTCGAAACCAACAAATGCATGCGGAACTCGGTGGATTGATCACAAGTATAAAGCAATGAAAATTGCTTTAGAAAATTATGGTGTGTTTATGACACATATTGAATCATTGGCTATAACAGACTCCCAGATAGCAAAGAGCAGAGTTAAAAGGTTTTTTAAAGCGATTGAAAAATGCGTCTGTGCCTATTAATTTATCAATATACCTTGATGTTTTATCTCCCCTTCGGCATTTGAGTTTAAGTTTTCAGAACAATATTCATGATCCAGTAAAAGCTGTAAGAAGAGTCCAAGAATTTACATGGACAATGGCCAAGCTGCAAATTCTTCTAGAAAATTCTTTAGACAATTTTCTTGATGATACAAGTGTTATGACGCATTATAAAAGATTGTCTATAGATATTGAGGCAATGTTATCAATGTTATCAAAAATGTTATCAAAATATTCCACTTTCTTAATAAGTTAATAAGCCATGTTCTTGACCAGTACAAACTAATTATTGCAAATATTACCATATGTATGGAAGACCGTTTTCAATCTCTCCAAAAATCACCATTGTTTATGCATTTGGTAGCTTTACTTGACGTTTATAACTGGCTGTTAAATGTGAATGACGGTACTTTTGGCGATAAAGCTATCGGTGAAGTTGTTGAACATTTTTCTGAAATTTTAATTGGTGTAGGATGTGATTAGAATAATATACTTCATGAGTGGATCATTTTAAAAGCATACATGTTTCCCATCATAAGTAACAATCAAAATGAGTATTATTTGAAAATTTGGGAAATTGTTTTTTCTAAATCAAGTTTGGTCAAAGAATGTCGAAATATTCTTGATATTTTTGAACTATTTTTAATTTGTCCTTTTACAAATGCGAAGGTAGAACAAATGTTTTCATGTATGAATTGCGTAAAAAATGACTGGAGAAGTTGCCTTAGACGAGATCGTTTAGAATCTCTACTTCGGATAAGCGAAGAAGGTCCTGAGATTGACAAATTTGAACCTGATACTGCTATGGACGAATTGTATAATGATAAAGTTAGACGATTGTCAGCAAATTTTCATTGTTATCCGGAAAAAAGAAAAAGAAAGTCAGGAAAAACAGACATTGATCTCGCGACAGTTACAATATCAGATTTGGAAGAAAGTGAGAGCGAGGGGAGGAGGGGGAAGGTGTTATGAGCAACAAAAAAATCGTGATTAGATTTTTTTACGTTAATTCGAGCCCTGTACATACATACATACATAATATTTTTATAATTATTGTATTAATTTCAATGTTATGAATTTTATAGCTTGGCATCAGAGTAGTTGATAGTTCTGTAGGTGGTCTTGGTGGCTGTCCATATGCAAAAGGGGCATCTGGTAATGTTGCCACTGAAAATGTTTTACAGATGCTTCACAATAAAGGAAAGATCACTGTAAGTTTTTATTAAAAATAACATTTATTTATTACTGATGATGACGATGACTATGATAAGAAATATTTTTCCTTAAATTTTGTTAAAGATATTCAATGGTCTAAATGTTTAATGAATTAATGTTCATTATGTATTAAGAAATAATTCCAATCAATAAATAGTTAATGTTAATAAAAATTTTGAGTATGAGCAAAGCTACTTGATTGTGTAATGAAGTTGTTGTTTTTTTGTTAAATTATTGCAAATTTATTAAGCAGTAATGTTTTTATCTACATAATGCATTGGATTGGCTAAAAGTTTTTAAAAAGTTTATTATTTTTGTTTCCATAGTTTCATATAACAATTTTTTTTTTTTTTTTTTTTTTTTTTTGGCTTTGAATTAAAAAAGTGGTTAGTGCAGTTGGAGTGCCTATTTATTGTTGAATCTTTCATTTTGCAAATTGTTGCTTCGTGATTGAAACAAATAATCTGTTAAAAAGTCAGATGAGTAAGGCAAATAAGGCAGTTAGAGCCTTCCAGCCAAGCACCAATAATATTTGCTGCATCAATTTTGCAATTTTTTTGTGGCTTGGGCTTTTCTTAAAGATTTCTGTTTAAGACTTTTCAAGTTGAGCAAAGGTTGCTGTCATATTTGTGGTGTTTGTCAGAAGCAACTTTTAAAAAACAATACAGCACATGTCTCATTAATACATAATTAACATCTTTTGGTTTGTGGTGTGCCATGGCCTACCTAAATAACATGGCCTGATTTGTTGTATTTTTCGTAAAAAAATTAAGAGGCCAGTTTTTTTAGGGTTTATATATAAAAATTTGTTCTATTAAACTAGTTAAATAATAGTTAGATTTTCTATGAGTAATTATTTTATGTGTTGCTGGATTTTTTGCTAACTGATTGCCTGCTTCAGTTTATTCCAATAACACAGAATAGTGAAATAGGCTTTCAGATAGCTATATCAACACATACCAACATGTTGCTAAAATAACCTTGCATGTTGCTAAAACTACCCACAACTCTCCATTGGAAATAATTTTAAAGGTATGTTATTTTGCATTTATTATAATTTCAATTATTAGGTATAAAACATAGATTTTTCTTTAGAATATGAAGGGTCGGGGGAAAAATGATGGAAGTTCATTTTTTCTAAAAATGCGTTAAGGACACCATTTTGTCACTTGAAAGATACAGTATTCAAATACGTCTTGATTAATAGGAAGCAAAGATAAGAGTCCAGTTAAAAATACATTCAAAGATATATATTAATGGGGAAGAAAGACGATAGTCCCGCAAGACTGGGGAAAATGCTGAAGGTCCAATCACCATTTTCTGCATAGTGGAGGTTCTGTGACTCATGTCTTAGCAGGCTCAGTCGGTCAGTCTGTTATTGTTTTATTTACCATGTTCTGTCAGTCTGAGTACTGAGTGTATTTATACATTTCGTTTTAACCTTAACTCTTGTTTATTGATTTGTGGTTGTCAATAAGGATAATGGACAGTGATTTGAGTAAAAGTGAAGATGAAGACAATAACATTGTTTTTCAACAGATGGCAAAGAAAAGGAAAATGTTTGGTCGAATGAAAGATTATAAAGTTGAGAGTTGCTTCCCACGAAACAGGTAAAAATTGTAACTGTTCACGTTCAAAATGCTTTGATAAAGTTGTTGATGGAGAAAGAAAAAGAATAATAAACGAATTCAATTGTATGCAATCTTTTGACAAGCAAAGCAACTTCCTCAGTGGCCTAATCACCGTACTCCCAATTGCAAGACACCGTCAACGATCAGACAATGGTACTCGTAGTATGGCATGTTACTCTTACAGATTAAAAGTGAGAAAAGAAGATAATTATGAGGACGTTCGATTGTGCTTCAGGGTTTTTTTGGCTCTACATGGCATAACAGCCTGTAGGGTTCAAAATATCCAGCAAGCATTAAAGTAAACAGGTGTGTCACCAAAGGATCAACGTGGTAGACATAATAAAAGGCCTCACAAACACACTGATGATACTCTCACTCTTGTTAACAATTTCATCAATTCTTTGAGAGGACGTAAGTCTCACTACTCACTAAAAGGCAGTAATAAGATATATTTACCAGAAGAATTGAATATTTCAAAACTTCACCAGATGTACATTAATAATTATCCAGAAAACTAAGTTTCTTATGATACATTACGGAGTTTAATAGTAAGCGTAATATTTCTTTTGGCTACACAAGGAAGGGCACATGTAGTACATGCGATACTTTTAAAGCTAAGAAAGCTACATTTATGGAAGGAATAGGCAATTCCAGCAATATGAGTCTACTCGAGGTGGAACACACACTTCATTTGAAGAAAGCAGAAAAATTTTATTCTTAGAAGAAGTTGTACACAAAAAAAAGTGGAAAGTCAAATACAGTAGTTTCTATTGCTATGGACTTCCAAAAGAATTTAAACACACCAAATATAACAACCAATGATGCATATTACCCGAGGCAGCTTAACTTTTACTCCTTTAACATTCAAGTACTCTCGAATAGTGAATCTATTTTACACATATGACGAAGCTAATGCGAAGAAAGGATCTGATGAAGTGTTCCATGTTAAACCATTTTATCAATAATTTTTTTACCGACATGGTTAAAGAACTGGTAATTTTCTGCTATTCCTGCAGTGGACAGAATAAAAACTACACGATTTTTCGCTATTTCCACTATCTTGTAACCGAAAAAAGAAGGTTTGAGTGTGTGAAAGTTTTCTTCTCTGTTCGTATCTGGAGTACAACAAAAACATGAGTTTGATTCAGAAATCCGTTGAATTACCTGAAGAATTGTGAGAAATAATAAGAAATCCTACGTTGAATTACCTGAAGAATTGTGAGAAATAATAAGAAATCCTACGTTGAATTACCTGAAGAATTGTGAGAAATAATAAGAAATCCTACGTTGAATTACCTGAAGAATTGTGAGAAATAATAAGAAATCCTACGTTGAATTACCTGAAGAATTGTGAGAAATAATAAGAAATCCTACGTTGAATTACCTGAAGAATTGTGAGAAATAATAAGAAATCCTACGTTGAATTGCCTGAAGAATTGTGAGAAATAATAAGAAATCCTACGTTGAATTGCCTGAAGAATTGTGAGAAATAATAAGAAATCCTACGTTGAATTACCTGAAGAATTGTGAGAAATAATAAGAAATCCTACGTTGAATTGCCTGAAGAATTGTGAGAAATAATAAGAAATCCTACGTTGAATTGCCTGAAGAATTGTGAGAAATAATAAGAAATCCTACGTTGAATTACCTGAAGAATTGTGAGAAATAATAAGAAATCCTACGTTGAATTGCCTGAAGAATTGTGAGAAATAATAAGAAATCCTACGTTGAATTGCCTGAAGAATTGTGAGAAATAATAAGAAATCCTACGTTGAATTGCCTGAAGAATTGTGAGAAATAATAAGAAATCCTACGTTGAATTGCCTGAAGAATTGTGAGAAATAATAAGAAATTCGAGAACAAAGCTTATGCTGTTTCATGTCATTGATTGCGATTATGGATTTTTTAAATCATCGACAGAATTTTTGAAACCTCTGAATAAGGCTAAATGTCCATTTCCCACCAGGGCTATTTGATGTCTCAAAATTCTGCAAACTGACCAATCATTCATTTCATACCGAGAAACATTTTCTGGTTGCTATCTTAAAGGAAATGTCATGGGCATCTCCAGCAAAGGGCAAGAAGAAAGGGATGAAACCAACCACAAAATGTCAGCTTATTAACTCATACAATGCTCGTCTTCCAGTTAATAGTGCTAAATATAACGACTTAAAAAATTTGATGAATTTTCTCACCAACAGTTTCCCACAAGCAGTTAACTTTTACATGAAGCTTCGAAAGACAGATAACTCTTCAGAAGAAAACCCTGAAGATCTTTTTGGATTACGAGATAGTCCTATATGAATAATTAGCCTACTTCTGGTTTTATTTTAACAGGCGTTTCTTATGTAGGTACTAACCAGAGTAAAATTGTTTATGTACCGTAATAATTTATAATTCTAAAAATAAAATGATAATCTTAATTTAGTAAACTATCAAATACTGCCATACTAGTAATTACATTATGTTTCTTAAGTTGTACTTAGACTCATTATTACAATTGATTTACATATTTTATTTTATTACTAATCTTAATACTCAATTTTATTGATTTTTTAGAACATTATGTGATAAAGGCTACTTTAATGGTAATATAACCTAGTTTTTATGCTTTTGTGTTACAATCATGACTTTTTATGATTGTAGGGCTTCAAAAATTTATTTTTATGTTTTATGTAATCCTCATCTAAAGTTTACTTAACATGTTTATGTTCAAAAAAACAAATTGATGAGTGTATTACCTTAAAGCACTAAACTAAATTTAAAACATTTAAAACTGAATTTAAAGCTGTTGATACCGACATTTTACCAATGTTAACACATTTTCATAGTTTTATAAAGCATATTATGGAGATAAAAAACTAATTATTTATCATCCAGTTTAGAAAAGGAGTGTTTAAAACATACTTATTGTTTGATATACTCCGTTTTATAAAAAATGTAAGAAACAACTTGTTAAACGCAAAAAAATGTTGAAGTTACTGCTGGTTACATTGCAGAGAATATATTTCTTAAAGTTTATTAAAAGATCACTTATTAAACAGGCAAGAAAAAGCAAGAAAAATTAATTATCAAGTCACATATCTTGGAACAACAAACAAGTTGTTAATTTTATCATACTTAATTCAAAGCAGAAACTCAATTCATCCAATCAAACTCAGCAATGCTGCTTTGAAAGGTGATAACAAACCCCTTTATAGAGAAATCGCAAAAAGAATTCTTTTAGAAATATGCATTAGTAAAAAGATTTTGGCAGATTTTCCCAGAAAATATTTATCAAAATTTTGATAATACTTAAAAAATATTATGCAAGATATTGCTTAGTTGTCTACATAAATACTAGTGTCAGCTTTCTGAAGATAGCA